GTTTTATGAGCTATGAGCCTGACATGGGGCGAGGCAGTGGCGCAGTAGGTAGTGCTGTCGCCTCACAGCAAGAAGGTCGCTGGGTCAACGCTCAGTTGGCGTTTCTGTGTGGAGTTTGCATGTTCTCCCTGCCTTTGCGTGGGTTTCCTCAGGTTTCCCCCACAGTCTAAAGACATGCGGTACAGGTGAATTGGGTAGGCTAAATTGTCCGTAGTGTATGAGTGTGTGTGTGTGTGTGTGTGTGTGTGTGTGTGTGCGTGTGTGTGTGTGTGTGTGTGTGTGTGTGTGAATGTGTGTGTGGATGTTTCCCAGGGATGGGTTGCGGCTGGAAGGGCATCCGCTGCGTAAAAACTTGCTGGATAAGTTGGCGGTTCATTCCGCTGTGGCGACCCCGGATTAATAAAGGGACTAAGCCGACAAGAATATGAATGAATGAATGAGCCTGACATATCTAAATAGCAATACTATTTGCTACATTTGCTTTTTCTATTTCTCTGTGACTGAAAACTGTCAATCAAATGACAAGGGTGGGACTACTTTATTGGACATTTTTATATTGGGAAGTTACGTTACACAGAGTCGACACACTGTTTTGAATTGTACAGTCTATGGTTTTGAACAATGGAGTTAATCGATGAAATTGTTGAGCACATTATGACAGTCCCAGAGTTTGTAGTTCTAATTGAATTCACATATATTGTGCAATGTGTTGTGGGCAATAGAGTCAAAGACTACAGAATACCTGTCACTCATATACTTTTAATTGGAGGAAAAGTGTAACCGTCAATATGGCGAATGAAGCCCGCCTTCTAGTTCAGGAGCCAATCAGCGATCACTATATGGCGAATAAAGCCCGCATTTTAGTACAGGAGCCAATCAGCGATCACTTTATGGCAAGTAAAGCCCGCCTTCTAGTACAGAAGACAGTCAGCGATCACCAGACTAGACGTGAGTTTCTGTAGTTTTTGTGTGATACGATTATTTAGAAATGAATTTAAACAGACATTTATTGTTTCATTTTATTGGTTATTCATAATATGTAATGTAATCATAATCTTGGCAAGTAGTTTTATAGAATTTGATGTTTCCCCATTCAAACAGAATGCCCAAGCATACTGCCTGAGAGGCATTTGAAAGATGGCTGCCAAGTAAAATTACTTACCTTAAAGAGACTTTGATAGAATACGGACAGTACTACACTTTCAATTTCTAACTAAAATAGTAGAACATCCAGGAACCTTTAAAATACTTTTTCCAACATACTTACATACAAATACAAAAATAACAACATAATATACATCCATATTTGATTTTGGAATATCAATCAAAAGGGAAAAAATCTCGTTTAAACAGTTGCTTACAACCTTCTTTTCTTCCGTAAAATCCCATTTAGTATTACTGATACCATGTCATAGAAAGAAAATGTAAAAATATATTGATTAAATAAAATAAACCACATGCCTTATATCAAAAACCAATTCAATAAATGTAGAAAAGGTAATCAATTTCTGGATTTTGGCCTAAATTGATGTCATTCCTGGAGCAACACATACACACTCAACTCATTCCTGCAAAAAAAAAAAAAATGTTTTTTTTACTTGGATTTTTTTTTTTTGTTCAAATCCAAATATCTAAAAACTCTTAAATTATGCATTTTCTAGACAAACAAAAAAAATATGCCAAAATTAAGTGAGTTTTTTTTTTTAAACAAGCAAAATAATCTTATGTCAAAAGAAAAAGCAAAATTAATCCCATTAAAAAACTTACTCATTTGGGAATATTATTTCTTAAAACAAGACAATATTTTTTAAGTCTAGAAAATGCAGATTGATTTAAGATTTTTTTTTTATATTTGGTCTAGAAACAAGAAAAAAGGTAGGGAACCCATTTTTTTTTTGCAGTGATGAAACCCCAGTAGTACTAAAAAACCATGCCATGTTCTTACATACTGCAATAAAATAAACCCTAGTCTAATATTTTTTTAATTTCCTGTCATTCCAGGCTCTCCAGATTTTGACGCAGTGTTGACAGACCTTACAGCAGAGCTCGGACAGACTGTAAAGCTTGCCTGCAAAGTCACCGGAGTCCCCAAACCACAGGTCACCTGGTACAAAGGTATGAACCAAATCTTGCATGCTTCTTGTCTTTAGGCTCTATTTTATCAATCTAGGCGCAAAGTCTAAAGCGCATGGTTCCAAAGCATTAAGGCTGTGTTGAATCCACTTTTGCTATTTTAAGGACGGAAAAATATGCTCTGCGCCCCGGCGCATGGTCTAACAGGGTTGTGCTTATTCTCTTAATGAGTTAGGGGTGCGTTTTGAGTATAACATGCATTAAACCAATCAGAGTTGGTTTACTAAACGCTTCATTAGCCAGAAAACAGTTAGACAGGCCATCTGCAGTGCCAGGAAAAAGAACGAGCCTCCTCTATTCGGCCACTTTCTCTTTACTTTTACTCTTTACTTTCGTGGATAAGGAAACGGTGTTGTACTCACTCCACTAAAGACATCCATTAGCCTACATATTTAATTTAGTTTGTTAAGCACAACTGTTTGCTTAACTATTTCTATATTAATTTTTAATTTCCAGCATATGAATAAATGAATAATAATAAAGAAGTGTGGTCAAAAAACTTATATTCAAAGTTATATCCAAACACACGTCCTATTCTTATCCTCATGTGGTAATGCAGGCGTTTCTAAAACCAAACAGGTTGACATTTTATTTAAAGTTACAAAAATTTATTTCCCCAAAGATCCTTTATTGTTACTATTGAATAACTCTCAATTTCCCTTAAATGCAAAGGCCCGTAAATTTTGGTTAGCTGCTTCAACTGCTACAAAGAAAATGTTGGTACAAAGGTGAAAACCTCCTCATGATCTCTCAGTTAAGCACTGGTTACATTCATTATTGGAAATACTGTATCTGGAACTGTCATCAGCACGGATCAACCATGCCAAAGTGGACTTTCTTACAGTATGGAATATTTATATATGCAACGTCAAAGAAATCTTGGACACTTAACCCTCATCTGATCCTACGGATGACAACTTAGGGTGCTTTCACACCTGTGAATCGATTCAGTTGTTCCGAAACAGAGATTACAATTGTTACATTGTTGCTCTTTGCTCTTGGAGTGGTTCGCTTTCACACTGCAAAGTTTCTAATCGGACCAAAAGAGCTAAAACAAGTCACGTGCGAGTAAACTCTCCTCACATTGGTCAGAGTGTCAGGGTTTATTTTGCAGCGTCCCGCTCAGCTGTCAGGAGAGGTTTGGTGGTGATTGACAGGGTGCATGCACGCAACGTGTCTGAGGAGAGACGCGGTGGGGAGGGGTGAGAGGGGTGCGCGACGATGCCTATTTGAGAACCGGGAGGGAGACGCGAGATTACCGGGAGATCATCACTCGTTTGCGGGCATCCGGAGACTCCCGAAACTTCCCGCCCTACTCATAATTCTCTCTTCATATAGCCGTAAGCCTATTACATATCCATAAAACACTGTGATATAACCGCGCTCGGATCGGATCGCTTTCTCACTGCAATCGAACCGCTCCAGGGTTCGTTTCAATCGAGCCGAGACCACCTCATTCAAGCGATCTCGGAGCGATTACTTTGGTGCGGAACAGAGCGCGATTGCCCTGTTCACATATGCCAAACGAACCGCGCTAACTGGGCAAATGAGATACGTTCCGAAACAAAAGTGTAGGTGTAAAAGCACCCTTAATGTAAATTATTTGACAGCTTGGTCTAAACTATAGTTATTCTGTGTTTCCTGATGTGCGTATAATGGCGTGGGGGGATAGGGAATATATATGGGGTAATATCTGTTTAAAGTATTTTTCTATCTGATTGTAAAAAATTTTATATTCTCACTTTCGGAAATAAAAAAACTGAATTACAAAAATAAATAAAATAAAACCGAGCAGGTGGACATATCGAAAATAGTTTTTATTAAAACAAATAAAGTGCCGCAAATGGATTTGCTATTTAAACAACATGCCGCAAACATGAAAATTAGGGTTGCGCTGGTCTGAAAATAACAACAAATCGTGCCAAACACAACTTGTGCCTTAATGCACTGGGTGTATGATAGGGCCTTATGTGTCTTATTATAAGCAAAATAATACATCTCTGCGACTTTCATAAACAGATGGACATGCAGTGGAAGCAGATCCTCATCACATCATCATTGAAGACCCAGACGGCTCTTGCACACTTATATTGGACAACATGACTGCAGACGACTCGGGCCAGTACATGTGCTTTGCTACCAGCTCAGCGGGAAATGCTAGTACACTGGGCAAAATCACTGTACAGGGTGAGTGACGGTGTAATTAAACTGAGAGAAAGATTGAAAGGGCTCATGAACTGCCTTTTATGTTTTTCACTGTTCTATAATGTTAAAAAAATAAATAAAAAGATCATTTTGATGCCCTTCATTGAAACACACTACTTGATTAGACGTGGCAGATTGTAAATTCCTAAGTATGACTGGCTAACAGTTTACATATTCAAAAAACTAAGTTTAAAATATAGACTGACGCTGCTGTGTAGGTTAAACAAGCATAGATACTCTATACTTACAAATGATCCAATATAGTAATAACCAATAATGTTTTGATTTCTCCGTTCATGGTTACTTTGTATTCAATCTCTTTGCAGTGCCTCCACGTTTTGTGAATAAGATCCGGAACGCCACACTATTTCCAGGAGAAGATGCTCAGTTCACCTGCACCATCCAGAGCGCACCAAGTCCCAAGATAAGGTATTTGTATCAGTGGGGGAAAATAAGTATTGAACATGTCATGTTTTTTTCCCGGAAGTAATATTTCTAAAAGAGCTGTTGACGTGGAATTTAACCAGATTTTGGTAAAAATTCAAACAATACAAACATAAAAATAAAACAAAATCTGAAAAATTAGTTGTGTAATAATAATGAAAGGACAAAAGGAGAAAGCACTGAACTACTGAAACATTTAATACTTTATATAAAAGGCTTTTTTGGTGACGGCAGCTTAAAGACGCCTCTCATATGGAGAATGAAGTCGCATGCATTGCTCAGGTGTGAGTTGTTCTACAGAATTAAACAGAGTGTAAAAATCTGGACGGTTCTGTGGGTCTCATTGATCAAATCTGAGCTTTAATTTGTATTCTCTATTGGACTCGTATCAGGTGATTGCCTGGGCCATTCTGCAGCTGGATTTTCTTTCTCTGAAAGCATTTGAGAGTTTCTTTGGCTGTGTTTTGGATCATTGTCTTGGTGAAATGTCCAGTCTGGTTTCATCTTCATCTTCTTGCTAATGTAGATGTTGGACTGAAGCAGCTGATATTTATTTACAATGAGAAAGGTCAGAGGGTTTTTATACTAAGAAATGCTTTTTATTCTTAATATATTATGTAAAACAAAAAAAAAACTATTAAACTAAGGAATCTGACTATTAAACTAAGAAAATCCAGCATATTCTCCAGTGTTCCACCCTAAATAACAGCAACTTGTGGAATTTAAATATACATTACATTTACATTTAGTCATTTAGCTGATGCTTTTATCCAAAGCAACTTACAAATGAGGACAAGGAAGCAATTTACACAACTATAAGAGCAACAATGAATAAGTGCTATAGGCAAGTTTCAGGTCTGTACAGTCTAAGAAGGAAAGTATTAGTAATATTTTAGTAATTTAGTAATTATTTTTATTTTTTATTTTTTGGAGTACAGTTAGTGTGATATCCAGAGAGGCAATTGCAGATTAGGAAGTGAAGTGGAGACTAAATAGTTGAGTTTTTAGTCGTTTCTTGAAAACAGCGAGTGACTCTGCTGTTCTGATGCAGTTAGGGAGTTCATTCCACCAACTGGGCAGATTGAGCGTGAGCGTTCGCGAAAGTGATTTCTTTCCTCTTTGGGATGGAACCACGAGGCGACGTTCATTCACAGAACGCAAGTTTCTGGAGGGCACATAGATCTGCAGAAGTGAGAGCAGATAAGAAGGAGCAAAGCCAGAAGTCGCTTTGTAGGCAAACATCAGAGCTTTGAATTTGATGCGAGCAGCAACTGGCAGCCAGTGCAAACGGATGAGCAGCGGAGTGACATGTGCTCTTTAAGGTTCATTGAAGACCACTCGTGCTGCTGCGTTCTGGAGCAAATATAGTAAAATCCATATTGGCAAACTTTGGATAACAGTGATATATATGTGCCTTATATGTGCCTTATGGAATATTAAAAAGCCACCTATTACTATTACAAATCACCTGACCCAGTATAAAAAAAAGGTAATTAATCTAAATGTTTATCGGGAAGAATTTTTAAACTTGAGATTCAACTTACCACACTCATGTTCCAGTGTACACGGATGGATGAATGTGTATCTGCTGCAGCAGTGATTAGTTACAAGTGTTTCGGAAGAAGATTATTCCTGGCCAAAGCTCAGATTTAACAGCTGAAGCTTGTGTATACTTTTAGCCCTTGAGCAAATAGAAAAGGAAAAGCAATGTCATTCTTTAATTTGCGCGCATTCTATGTCTTCCTTATAAGCACTTGAGTGTATGAAAACTGATCATTCTATGATTTTCATCATAATAGAAAAAGGAGACTATTTAAAGAAAGAAGACTTTGGTATTATTTTTTTTTTGTAGGGCCATATGGGATTCGTTGTAAATGAAAGCGCAGATATAGCAGCTACAGTTGGAAGTAGCAAAATGTAAAAATTCCTGTACAGTAATGAGGAATGGCAAATGGAATGGGATCAATGCACGAACAAGAAATTGTTTAAAGTAAATCCATTAATAAAATGAAAGAAATAACTACCATTTTAAAAATAGATACAGCCAGGTTGTACACAGGCACGTGCACACATAGGGCTCAACCTGTGCAGTGCACATGCCCTTTTTAGTCTTGGATAGAAAGTGCCCTTCCAAAATGATCAAAAAGTGCCCCCGCGATGCGACACACCCTCGGTCCCGCCCTTCAGTAGGCACGCGATTATACTGCTCTTGAGTATGCGCGCGACAACACAGCTGATCAGAACGCGCGCGAAAACGCCGCTCTTTAGTACGCCCCCCAGAGATGGGTTGCGGCTGGAAGGGCATCCGCTGTGTAAAAACTTGCTGAATAAGTTGGCGGTTCATTCCGCAGTGGCGACCCAGGATTAATAAAGGGACTAAGCCGACAAGAAAATGAATGAATGAATAATTATTTACATGTTGCTGTTTGGTGGCTTTGATTACTTCTATCTCCTTGATTTGCACTTATAAGTCACCCTAAACTAAAGCGTCTGCTGAATGATTCATATATTTCAAACAGAACACAGTCATTAAAAACTGTAATGATATTTGACTAAATGTTTTTACTGTACTTACAATAAAGTGATGAGCATAAGCATGTCAGAAACAGCGGCAAACTGTTTTGTTTAATGCCGTTTTTTTTTCTTCATCTCCCTGCCCAGATGGTTTAAAGAGGGTAAACTGCTGACAGACATGGAGAAGTTTCAGACCTACAGTGAAGCGCGCAGTGGAGTGTTGGTTCTAGTCATCAAGAATCCTGTTGAAAGAGACCTGGGACATTATGAGTGTGAGGTATGGAGATTCTTTTGTATTTACTCTGGTTCTGAGGAGACTGTAATTCAGACTGTAATCACCTGACTGATCCGCAGTTGTCCAACCGTCTGGGCAGTGCCAGGTGTGCGGCACAGCTGGTCACTCCTGCGGTGGCAATGGCAGGAGAACGCAGAGCAGAGCAGGCCATCTCTATTGAAGGTAACACACACATGCTGTCCGTTTAGTATTATTTCACTTATTCAAAACTGATCATATTCTGATGCAATGTTTATTGGTTTTATTTAATGTATTGCTCTAGAAAAACACACTGCAAGATGGTTTTTGAAATGATCAGGTTTAGAAAGTGAGAAAAGTATTGGAATAAGAGTTGGAAATGAATGCAAACATGCCACATAAATGGATAAAAATTCCAGTTGAAAATCTGAGCGGGCATCTTGATGTCAAAATTACATCAAAAATGCAAATCAATTTGATGTCAGTTGACTACACTGATGCTAAATTGACATCTAACATTGGCTTTAAAAAACACATCAAAATTTGATTATTGATGCTAACGGTAGATGTCAATATGATGTCATTTTGGCATCAAGGTCATCTACATGCATTGTAGGCAGGGACTTAGACGTATCCCCAACATTAACTATTGATATTCAATTCAGTTCAATTCATTTATTTCTATAGCACTTTTACAATATAGATTGTGTCAAAGCGGCTTCACATAGAAGATTATAGTGAATTGAATGTCCCCAATAATAATTTAATTAACTTAAAAATAATAAATAAATAAATTGTGCTGTCAATATTAACCTAGACATGTCGAAATCTCGTCTCTCCAAGTCACACTGCCCCCAAACACACATGAACAGTGTGATTGGCTGAGCCTTTTCCCGGCTGTAGCTGCGTTCAGATGAAGCAGCGTCAAAACTTTAAGAACTCATATTTTACCAAAAAATATTTCCTACCATTTTGTCAAATTGATAACCATATTATTTTAAGTGTTTACTTACAAATGTGCATTTTTATATGACAATTTGTTTTCTTGTTTTTTGTTAAAAACTGAAGCCCATAGGCAAATAACAATTTGGCCGGCACATTCAACTTTCCTCATTTAGAATTTGACCATTTGAATGATAAAAAAAAATGTAAACATAATAATAATTTAATTTTTGGTCAACTTTCAAACCACCTGAACCCCTCTTGGCTACAGGCCTGACTATTTAATTTAACCTGATAAACTGTATGAAGAGAGGATTAATTAATAATATATTTTAATAGCAGTTGAATAATTAATAGCATATACAGTTGAAGTCAGAATTATTAGCTCCCCTGAATTATTAGCCCCATGTTTTTTTCCCCAACTTCTGTTTAATGGAGAGAAGATTTTTTTCAACGCATTTCTAAATATAATAGTTTTAATAACTCATTTCTAAAAACTGATTTATTTTATCTTTGCCATGATGACAGTAAATAATATTAGACTAGATATTTTTCAAGACACTTCTATACAGCTTAAAGTGACATTTAAAGGCTTAACTAGGGTAATTACATTAACTGGGCAGGTTAGGGTAAATTAGGCAAGTTATATAACGATGGTTTGTTCTGTAGACTATCCAAAAAATAGCTCAAAGGGGCTAATAATATTTACCCTAAAATTATGTTTAAAAAATTTAAAGCTGCTTTTATTTTAGCCAGAATAAAACAAATAATATTTTTTCCAAAAGAAAAAATATTATCAAACATACTGTGTTAAACATCATTTGGGAAAATGAAAAAAAAAATTATTAATTAATAAATCAAGCATGGGCTAATAATTCAACAATACTTCAACTATACTTCAACTATACTTTAACTATACTTCAACTATGTGTGTAGATTATATATATATAATTATATGAATATGCATTATATAACTCAAGATATCTGAACATCCTCTGACCATGATATAATAGTAAATAAAACAGTTGTCAAGCCAACTTTCTGCTACAAACAGAAACTCGTAACTTTTCCCCCGTCTTCTGATTGGTCCACTGCTGTGGAACTGACAGTGATGAGCTCTGGTGCATGTTAAAGTTGAAGATCGGTCAACTT